ACTAGTGCTCCCTGAACAGGTCTATAGGCCTTGATATCCTGGTGGATGTTGGTTTATGCATGGTTTAGTTTCATATTAACTTAAATATGACCCTGTTTCCATCTCTGGTCATGCATGATGTGTATTACCAAGTATTAGGTTAGATATAGACAGTAGCGGTGCGTGGGTAAAATGACTGGGGAAGCCAGACAAGGAAATAATATCCATATTACAACCTATGTGTTGTGATAATTGCGTTGTTTGCTCTATGACCGGCTATAAATTCAACCACACCTTTGTTTCATCACAAAACCGGAGAGCAACCTCTGTCCGGTGAAGTCCACATAGCATATTTCAGGTAACAAACAGTTAGATGACCTACAGTATGGTCAAGCAAGTTCATGTTTCCAACATTTTCATACTACTAAACAACTATTGATTTAGAACCACAGTTAACGCAAGTCGCAAAGAACAGGAGCTGCCTCCACTATTCCATCACCATTTCAACATCATTAAATCACCTATGCTTAGTCTAATACAGTGACAACTAAAATATACCAAAAACTATTTAGTCCAATCAACGTAAGCTAAATATGATGTGGCTGTCTGTGCTTCTGGTGTGTGTGTGCGCGCGCATTTGTGCAAGTAAAAAATGTTGACTCACCCTACTTGTAGAGAAACGCCAATGCCATCCTCCGCTCTTTCATGTTGCCAAAACGGTCTATGACTGTCATACTGTACACCTTTAAATTTTTTGTTGTCCTACGCTACCTGGCTAAAATGCTTGCTCGCTAGCCCAACTTCCTTTTTGTGGGCAATGTTAGCTAGTTAACATTAGCCTTCTACATCTAGCTACATATTGAACTTCCATTCTCTCAGGCCAGGGGCACAATGTATGAATATATGGTTGGATCAGAATCGCCATTATAATCATTGGGCAGTATGGAGAATTAAGTAAAACCACAAGTCCAAATCCCTGTCTCCATCCATTTAGGAAAGGGCCAATTTTAGCTAGCTAGCCACCGGACAACAACACAACAATTCAGGTTGTTTCTACTCAATTACTTATTGCTCTTGATGGAATGTGATTGGAGTGAAGCCAAATCCGAACTGGCTTCCCTTGACAATTTTTTTTTGGGTGCACCAGGACCATTCACAGTTGAGCTCACTCAATTTAGCTCAATGCTAAATTGAGGCCAAATGGTTGCAGGCTTCCCTTGCATTCAACGCTACAGGCGGCAACAATATCATACTCTTTTTGACCAGACATTATAAAATAGATGGCCTACACATACAGAGACAGAAGGGAGCTGTTTCGCTCACTCGGATGCCTTTTCAGGTGAGATACATTCAGCCTCTTGCGAATTGAAGGAAAATGTAAGAAAAATAAATTCACTGGTGTCTTTTTTGGGGGGAAGCCTGGCTTGCCTTGGCATCCATGAATACATACCACTGTGTATGATATAATATGAGTGTACAAAACATTAAGAACACCTTACTAATATTCAGTTGCTCCCCACCCGTTTTGCCCTCAGAACAGCCTCAATTTGTCGGGCCATGGACTCTTAAGGTGTCGAAAGCGTTCCACAGGGATGCTGGCCCATGTTGACTACAATGCTTCCCACAGTTGTCAAGTTGTCTGGATGTCCTTTGGGTAGTAGACCATTCTTGATACACACAAACTGTTGAGTGTGAAAAACCCAGCAGCGTTGCAGTTCTTGACACAAACTGGTGCGCCTGGCAGCTACAAACATACCCCGTTCAAAGGCACTTAAATATTTTGTCTTGCCCATTCACCCTCTGAATGGCACACATACACAATCCATGTCTCAATTGGCTCAAGGCTTGAAAATCCTTCTTTAACCTGTCTCCTCCCCTTCATCTATACTGATTTTAAAGTGGATTTAACAAGTGACATCAATAAGGGATCATAGGTGGCGTAGCGGTCTAAGGCACTGTATCTCAGTGCTTGAGGCGTCACTACAGACCCCCTGGTTCGATTCCAGGCTGTATCACAACCGGCCGTGATTGGGAGTCCCATAGGGCGGCGCACAATTGGCCCAGCGTCGTCCGGGTTTGGCCGGTGTAGGCCGTCATTGTAAATAAGAATTTGTTCTTAACTGACTTGCCTAGTTAAATAAAAATAAAATAAAAAGCTTTCACCTGGATTCACCTGGTCAGTCTGTCATGGAAAGAGCAGGTATCCTTAATGTTTTCAGTGGTGTAAAAATACTTGAAAGTACTACATACTGCGACGTTATTGTGATTTGATGTTCCAAACCTATTGATCAGTATATGAGAGAGAATGAGAAGTTTTGATCAGTCATGGAAATAAAAGTACTGAAATCATGTTGGCTCACTATTTAAACTGAACAAAAATATAAACGCAACATGCAACAATTTCAACAATTCTACTGAGTTACAGTTAATATAAGGAAATCATTCAATTGAAATAAATTCATTAGGCCCTAATCTATGGATTTCACATGACTGGGCATGGGTGGGCCTGGTAGGACTGATTGGCTGGGCCTGGGAGGACATAGGCCCACCCACTTTGGAGCAAGGCCCACTCACTGGGGAGCCAGGCCCAGCCAATCAGAATTAGTTTTTCCCCACAAAAGGGATTTATTACAAACAGAGATAGCTAGCGGAATTTGGAGTCAAAGTATCGATATAGTATTGTCCCCCCGAAAAAACTGATTTTTCCAGCGTCACTATTATTTAGCCAACTGATTGCTCTGGAGGATCATGTTTTGAGAGGGAAATTGAAGACCCCCGGGCCTGACTAACCCACCACCACCGTGTCAAACTTCTTCCCTCATAACACAATGTAATATTGAAGCCTTCTGCTAAAGGTGTAGTCTATAGTTAGTGACCTGTCATATGACTCATTCTCCGGATGACTAGTGCAGTGATTTCAGGGAGGGACTGTAACTTCCTCAACTGAGAGAATATTTTGGCATACTTCACTCCATTTTGCCTCAGGAGAGGAGGATCAAGCTCATTTCTTTTTTTAGCAAATTAGTTTGTGGGTCATTACCCCTAGTGGCAAGCAGGATGAGGAAGACAGGATTGATGGCTTATCCTGTTCTCATTATGCAGATGGTTCTGCTGTATTAAATGGTGGCTGTCCCAATAACTTGTTGAATAATTGTGTCTGAATTAGATGACTGAATAGAAACGGGAGAGTTCAGTGGCTAGTCTTTGTTCTACTGTGTTACAGATCCAGGGCATTGTGTTTAACACTAATTGTCAACAACATCATAAGCCTGCCATTTTAAAAAGCTGTGTATAATGGATGTTGTCTACATGAAAATATAAGAATGATTCCCTTTTTTCCATACAAGATGTTCCCTAATGGCTGTCCGTGATTCTCGGACACAAAGGGCTCATGCATGCAGTCACTGTCTTATCATTAGTGCTGTGCAAAGAGCGGAGCATTGTCGTGAGGGCTGTGTCTCTGTGTGTGTGTGTTTGGTCTTTGGCAGCACTCTCCTCTGCTCGACTCCATGGAGGCCTGTACAAATAGTGCAGAAGCCAAGGGCCCCTCCCCAGCCCTCCTCCCCTCCCCACCACAGTAGCCCAGCACAGGAAGTGGATTGTTTTCTTTCACAGGGGGAGCCTGGCTTGGTGCTCTTCTCTCTCCACTTGCTCGGCCTCAGGCTCAGGCCCATCCAGCATTTTGGTCCATCTCCTGTCCAGCCTGGTTTACGATCTGTCTTGTGAGTTAATCTGTGGTTCACAGAGCTGTCAGTGTGGGGAGGGAAACCTTCGTACCTTAATACAAGTCAGTCATTAGATGTAATCTATTTTCTATCTTCCTATGCTTCTTTTTTCTTTTTTTTTTGCTTGTCCCATTATCTAGACAGATTTTGTGCTTGTCTGAATCTTATCTCTACTCAGTGGCATCTGGTGTTGTGTGAATCAGACTTGGTTTCATGACAGCCAAGCAGGAGAGGACACCGGATGAGAATATAAATGTTTTGCTAGAGGGCAGCAATATGATGTATGTCCAATGCTGTGTCTGCTTTCGGTAAAGGGGCTTTGTCAGCCGAGCCGTCGGGGTAGAAGCAGAGGAGGAGGCAGCCAAATGACTATGCATAGCTGCCCTGCTCTCCTCTCAGGCAGCTACAGAAGCCTTGTTTATCAAAGACGTTTATCCCACACAGCATTGGGGTCTGGTCAGCGGCAGGGCATCACTCTCTCTTGTCCCTCTCTGAGTTATTCTGAAACTGCCTGGTGTTTCACACAACCAGCATTTTAACAACAGGACCATATTTTTAAAGGTCCAATGCATTTCTGGGTAACAATTAAGTACCCTACTGTGATTGTTTTCAATTGAAATTGTCAAAAAGAAACAAAATTAGCTTCTTAGCAAAGAGCATTTCTCAAGCAAGAATTGTGCTAGGACTGTCTGGGAGTGGTATGAGTGGGGAGGGGAAAGCTGAAAACTAGCTGTTATTGGCAGTGAGGTTTGGAACTCTTTCTTATTGGTCTATTAACGATGCCTAATTTACTGGGTCACCAGGCAGACTAAAACTCCATCCCAACAATCAGGCTGATATTTCAGGAGGTATTTTCAAACAGCTCGTACACTTAAAGGGCATCATCATAATTTTCACAGTATTAGTCCAACATCATAGTGTGAAATGTTTTATAAAACACAGAAAAATCACATTTGAAATGTTTATTTATAAAGTTACTCTATACCCTACTGATAAAATGTAGGTAACCAGGCAACTTAAGAGGGACAGAGAAATAACAATATTGTTTGGAATAGTTTAAGGAAACAGCTAAGTGCTTCTCCAGCTGTTATAGTTTCCCGGAAGCCTTTCCGCGTGCTGCCTGCCTTTCCACTGACCGACCATAGTAGGAAACAAGAAGGGTGGAGTCAAAGAATGGGCTGATGGAACACAACATTCCACCCTGTCCCAGCTTGCCTCAACTCTCTCTCTCTCTCTCTCCCCCCCCTTCCTCCCCCTATCCTCTGTGTTGCGGCTCTGTAATCTAGATCTGGCATTATGGGGATTCAAGGTCTGTCGCTGCAGCTGTCTCTCCATCTCTTTCCCTCTCCACCTGGAGATCAAACAGCCTCCCTCTAGAGATGGGATGTCATGGAGGTGTCAAAGTTGTCCAAATGTTTGTAAAAAATCCCTTTATTTCAGGGGTAGAACAGAACTAGGCCTAGCTACATCTTGTTTTTTTTATCACACTCTTATTCCCTCACAGGTTTCCAGTCTCTATTCACTCGCTGAGTATATTCAGACTTTTTACAATCCAACAGTTACTAGGGTTGTCCAGTGATGTGACTGTAAAGTGTTCCCTGCGTTTCTCCACAGTAATGGCAGCCATTAGGAAGAAGCTAGTGATCGTGGGGGATGGAGCCTGTGGAAAGACCTGTCTGCTCATCGTCTTCAGTAAAGACCAGTTCCCCGAGGTCTACGTGCCCACAGTGTTCGAGAACTACATCGCTGACATCGAGGTCGATGGCAAACAGGTGTGTAGACTACCATCCAGGATCTAAAAAATACAGAAATGATCAATACTTAAGTATAAAGTCTTCATACACATGAACCAAACAGCCATACAGCCAACCCACACAGTAAACATAATATTTACATTTTAGTCATTTAGCAGACGCTCTTATCCAGAGCGACTTACAGTTAGTGAGTGCATACATTTTCATACTGGCCCCCCCGTGGGAATCGAACCCACAACCCTGGCGTTGCAAGCGCCATGCTCTACCAACTGAGCTACAGGGAGCTCCATAATATCATCATAAGGCTTTGGTTAACAAACGGTCTTGTTGGAGTGTAGTGGGAGTGACGCGGGGCTCTTGGTCATGGGGCGTAGCCTAGCTGTGTTCTGGAGGCCAGGGCCCCTCCACAGCACAGCAGATGGGATGTTATGTCAATGGGCTTTGTTCTCCTGTACTGACCAGCACAGGATCACAGCCTGGCAAAACAGGAAATGACTGTACTCCTGGGCTTCCTGCACCGACTGGGAACATGGATGTCTACTGGCAATCCCCCACCCCCTGAAGACTGTCCCTCAGCCCGATAAACGGCTCTCATTTCCTGCTCTTGGGGAGCAACAGGCGGGTGGGGGAGGGGTTGATATACTGTTGTCTTCTGTACAGGAAAACACCAAGTCAGGGATCCAAGTGTGCTTGTTGTGCATGATGGATCATGCCGCCCCCCCATTCAGCTTAGCTCTCCCAGGGGCTGCACAGCGCCCCCAGAATTACCCTACTTTAATTTGATGTGGATAAGATCTGTGTTCTCAGTATAAAGTCTCCACAGTCCACATTTAAATCGTATTTTCCTTCAGGGAGAATGGTATTCGCTTTCTCTCACCTTCAGTGGGCGGGGCCTGGCCCAGTTCTAAAAATAGGCACTTAAAAAAAAAAGTGTCCTTTTCTTCCCAAAACCTTGTGCTGTGCTGTCAATCCGTGTGTCCAGAGGGGATATGGCGCCTACCCCCATTGCTCATGCCAGGAGTATGTAGCCTCCCACTCCCACCCGTCCTACAAACCTCTGCTATAGCTGCTATTTTGGGATGGTTGAATAATGTGTGTGTACTGTAGTCAAACATTGTTCTACTTTCAAAGTTATGTTACTAACCTTTTAACTAGATGTATGTTGCTATGAAGGACAGGCTCCTCCTCTCAAAGACAAATAGTGCTTAAATCATGTATACAGTAAAAGGGCAAGTTGTGGCAAAATGTTATTATTCAGTTGTAGAATCCAGCAGGCTAATGTAGTTGCTCTGGTCTACTCCCCTGAGGAACAGAAGGTATCTGGTTTGATTCTCCTTAATCACCTGATTTCCCTAATGGAATTAATCAGTGGTGTGATGGGATAAAGCCACCATGCCTCCTCTCTGGATCCCTGTGAAAACCTGCCCATGGAATGAGACAAACGGCCAGTCGTTAGCTGCTGCACTGGTTTCTCTCTCTCCCCAAGACCAGAGCTATGACGAAACCACTTCTAATAGTAGTATTCATCATCATGGTCATCACTGCTAGTTTCACGGCCGCCAAAGACATGTTCAACTGCTAAGACTTCACACTGCTAAGACTTCACACTGCTAAGACTTCACACTGCTAAGACTTCACACATCGGGAGTGTTTCAAATATGCAAATCTTACTCCAAATTCCTGCTGCATCACTTGAGAGATTTCTCAGAGATAGTTACAGTATTTTTGTATCCCAAATAACACCCTATTCCCACTACTTTTGACCAGGGCCCAATGTGCACTATATATAGGGATCAGGATGCCATTTGGGAAGCAGCCTTTCTGTGAAGAACAATGAAACTGAAACACTGCTCTGACTCATGTTAGCCATTAGAAGCTGTTTCTAAGGCATGATAATGCGTTGTTTTGCTTGCTTGTTTTGGTGGTGTTTTACATTGTCCTATGAGACATGGTGGAAACCAAATTACAGCTACAGTATCTTGTAATGATTTCCACAGTAAAAGATGTGCCAGCACTTTGCTCCACTGCTTTTGGCCCGACGCTGCCCAGCCCAGTCTTGGCTCTCGTGACTTATGTAAATAAAAACGGTATCACCATTATGCGTTTTTTATTTAGATTTGCGTTTCTTTTTGCTCATCTGCACATACTACTGCATCTCTCCCAGCATCTATTACTCAACATCATATAAAAAAAATAGAACAACTCTCAGGTTCTGAGATATACATTTGCTTCAGAAAGATTTTGGCCTTTTTTTTAGAGCAGCCATTTTGCCTGTATTTTGTGTTCTCTTTCACACGTATTGTAGATCTGCGAAGTCCTGACCCTTCCTCTTCTTCTGTGGCATGTTTTAGGTGGAGCTGGCGCTGTGGGATACAGCCGGCCAGGAGGACTACGACAGGTTGAGGCCTCTCTCCTACCCCGACACAGACGTCATCCTCATGTGCTTCTCTATCGACAGCCCCGACAGTTTAGGTAAATGACCAGGAGAAAAGCTAATTTCTAGTCTGTGGACACTCAGAAGTTGCTGATTTCTCTGATGTTTTGTTTTCCAATGGCCAACTGCACTCGTCTAACAGCTGGTTATTTCGTTTTGCCTTGTTTTGAAACGATCACAGTATCTAGCATGCTAAATGTCTTTGCTCAACTGACCGTGTGTTAATCAGTTTTATACAGTGGATTTGGAAAGTATTCAGACCCCTTCACCTTTTCCACATTTTGTTATGTTACAGATTTATTCTAAAATGGATTAAATTGTTTTTTCCTCTCATCAATTTACACACAATACCCCATAATGACAAAGCAAAAATTGGAAAAAAAATTGAAATTTCATTTGCATAAGTATTCAGACCCTTTACTCAGTACTTTGTTGAAGCACCTTAGGCAGTGATTACAGCCTTGAGTCTTCTTGGGTATGATGCTACAAGCTTGGCACACCTGTATTTGGGGAGTTTCTCCCATTCTTCTCTGCAGATCCTCTCAAGCTCTGTCAGGTTGGATGGGGAGCGTCGCTGCACAGCTATTTTCAGGTCTCTCCAGAGATGTTCGATTGGGTTGTCTTGGCTGTATGCTTACGGTCGTTGTCCTGTTGGAAGGTGAACCTTCGCTCCACTCTGAGGTCCTGAGCGCTCTGGAGCAGGTTTTCATCAAGGATCTCTCTGTACTTTGCTCCGTTCATCTTTCCCTCGATCATGACTAGTCTCCCAGTCCCTGCCGCTGAAAAACATCCCCACAGCATGATGTTGCCACCACCATGCTTCACCGTAGGGATGGTATTGGCCAGGTGATGAGCGGTGCCTGGTTTCCTCCAGATTGACATTTCATCAGACCAGAGAATCTTGTTTCTCATGGTCTGAGAGTCCTTTAGGTGCGTTTTGGCAAACTCCAAGTTGGCAGTCATGTGCCTTTTACTGAGGAGTGGCTTCCGTCAGGCCACTCTACCATAAAGGCCTGATTTGGTGGAGTGCTGCAGAGATGGTTGTCCTTCTGGAAGGTTCTCCCATCTCCACAGAGGAACTCTGGAGCTCTGTCAGTGACCATCATGTTCTTGGTTACCTCCCTGACCAAGGCCCTTCTCCCCCGATTGCTCAGTTTGGCCGTGCGGCCAGCTCTAGGATGAGTCTTGGTGGTTCCAAACTTCTTCCATTTAAGACAGATTGAGGCCACTGTGTTCTTGGGGACCTTCAATGCTGCAGAAATTTTTTGTACCCTTCCCCAGATCTGTGCCTCAACACAATCCTGTCTCGGAGCTCTACGGATAATTCCTTTGACCTCCTGGCTTGGTTTTTGCTGACATGCACTGTCAACTGTGGGACCTAAATAGACAGGTGTGTGCCTTTCCAAATCATGTCCAATAAATTAAAGTTACCACAGGTGGACTCCAATCAAGTTTTAGAAACATCTCAAGGATGATCAATGGAAACAGGATGCACCTTAGCTCAATTTCGAGTCTCATAGCAAAGGGTCTGAGTACTTATGTAAAGGTATTTCTGTTTTTTTAAGACATTTACAAAAATGTCTAAACCTGTTTTTGCTTTGTCATTATGAGGTATTGTGTGTAGATTGATAAGGAAAACAATTAATTTAATCCATTTTAGAATAAGGCTGTAACGTTAACAAAGTGGAAAAAGTGAAGGGGTCTGAATACTTTCTGAATGCACTGTATAGGGTTTCATGTGAGACAGTGGGATAAATTATCTGCATGGACTTAATCTGAACTCGGTGTGTGTTTATAAGAACAAGTCTGCTGAGCTGTGAATCACTCTTTCTCCAGTCAGTGTCCCATAAGTATCTCTGAAATATATCTACTTGTTTCTTGTTCCTTCTTCCTCTGGTAGAAAACATCCCAGAGAAGTGGACCCCTGAGGTGAAGCACTTCTGCCCCAACGTTCCCATCATCCTGGTGGGCAACAAGAAGGACCTGAGGAACGACGAACACACACGGAGGGAGCTGGCCAAGATGAAGCAGGTACCGTACGTTAGGTCCATACTGAGTGTACTGCACAACACCCTCAAACAGAACCCTAACCCCTAGGTAGGTAGGAGGTACTGCTGTAAATCTGAAAGGATTGGATAGAAGTAGTCTGTCAGACCACATTGCTTATCCTTATATCTGTTCAACACTTTTTAGATGAATGTGGCTGGTGTCCTCAACTAGGCCTCTGGAAGGGAGAACTCATTTAAGATGACAATTTGTCAAAGGATATTAGTGTTCCCCTTTGAGTTTAATCATTGTTTCAGGATACGTGAGGCTTGATAACCAGCCAAACTGAGATGGTGGTTGAGTGACCAATGTTATCACTGACTAGACTGTGGAAAACCTTTCAGGAAAAGGCTGTTTTGGCTCTGAGTCACTGGCATCCCTTGCATTCTTAGAAAAACATGTAGCGAGACTGGTCTGAAATGGCTGGGGCTGATTTGATCTGCCTGTCATGGCATGGGGAGGAGCAACCTCTCCTAGAAGTTACTGATTAGCTTGTTTGTTTAGTCTGAAGTCTTCTCAATGCAGGTTCTAATGGACGACAGACAGTACCTTGCTTGACATCATGTTCTCTGTCTGTGTGTCTGTCTCTGTGTAGGCCTACTGTCAGTCTGTGTGTGGTACTAGTCTCCAGGTCTAGTTGCTGATGATAATGGGGGTGGGGGGTTACAAAGCCCTCTGACTCTGTCAGCCGTTTCTTTCTCTCAGAGAACAGGAACTATGTAACAAAGAGGATGTGAGAGAGGATTACAATCCCCACAAGTCATCACTTTTTAAGTGTTTTAGCGTGATGTTAAAAGTAACTGTGGTGGCTATGTTGTACCCAGGCAGTGGAGTCATGCTATTTCCCAGGATTTATGTGTTCTGTGATCAAACATAAATACATCTAGAGGGGGGGGGGTTGATACAACCTACACTCAGGAGGCTACATGTACTAGGATAAACATGAGTATTCTGTGTTTATATAGTCTTGATGTTATTATAGTCAAGTGTCCCATGAATGTTGTTGGTAAATTCACACTGCTTAGGTTGGAGTGTGTGTGTACGTGCATGGCCAAACCAGTTTAAACACCTCCCTGTCTGTGTTTACCCTGTAGGAGCCAGTGAAGCCAGAGGAGGGCCGGGACATGGCTAACCGTATCAGTGCCTTTGGCTACCTGGAGTGTTCAGCCAAGACCAAGGATGGCGTGAGGGAGGTGTTTGAGATGGCCACCAGGGCGGCGCTGCAGGTGCGCAAGCGCAAGAAGAGGGGTGCTTGCCTGCTGTTGTGAGGAGGAGGAAGAAGACCTCAAAGTCGTCAACTGACAAAACAACAACATACCAAGCAGAACTGACCTTTTACCAAATGGCATCTTTGTACTGTATCTCACATTTCACGCTAAAGAGGTTGGCGGCCGAAAGTGCTGAACGTAAAATAACAAGGAAAAGGACTGGTCTGTAACACAGGTTAGAAATTAGTGTTTAAACTTCTCAGAATTGTTTTTTTTGTTATGCTTATTTCATGCAATGGGCACACTGTCTTTCATCTAGTTTTTCACAAGCATTTATTTTCCCTGTCGCTTTGAGACGATAATAAATGCACATGTATTTGAATGCAACATATTTGGCTGTCCTTCCCTGGGCCTGTACAAACAGTCGGTCCCCTGAGCTTGTGTTATTGTCAACATGCACACTATTGGAATCAGGACTCACCCAAACTTTTGTTCCTTTGTAACCCGTCCTGTCTGCTAGCATAGTTGTTATGGTAAGAGGGTCTACTTTCCAGGGGAGAGGTTTTGCTCTTTAGAACCAGTGCCTTTCGGAGTTATTTTTCTTATTTTTTAAGTCCTTGCATACCACCAAGTAATGCTCCACCTGAGCTGTTGGTCAACTCACTAGCAGGGGAGCGGAGGGCCTCCCCACGTTAATTATACACAGTATGTATTGTTATGCAATCAGAGCTTTGCTGCAAGTAATCTAGGCTTTCAGGGCTGTCGATAACTAGCCGCAAGAAATGACTTCAGACTTCATTTTACTTAGCAGAAAGCATCAGTCAGCCAGTCCGTATAGCATACCAGTCTGAAATCAGTCCACCCCCACATGGTAAAGGACTGGTAGTCGGAGCACCTCATGGCACTGTAACATGACCCTACAGATGTGTGCAGAGAAGTCCATCCGCCCCCCCTCAAATATTGTCTGGATTGAACAGCTGTTCCTCACAGTCGTTCTGAACACCTGTACAGAGAAGCTCGAATGTCCCCAGATAAACAGAAGCCAACATGACTTTACAGTCCCACCACACCAGGAGGTGACAAGTTAAAACGGGTGTCGCATGATGATTAGGGGAGCATGGTCCACAATAGCTACAGTAGGTTTGTATGAGTTGACACCATCTTCTTTTTAGAATGAGAATGCCAACGTATTTGTCACAAGGCTGGAGCTGCCGGGGTATGAGGGACATGGTATCCTGTCTCAAGAGATCCTGGCCTGGGGATTTCCAGTCTGACTGCATTCTAAAGCAGCATTCTGAGGAGCCACATGAGTGTGTTTCAGTGCCTTCTCTTTTAACCTGTGTGACTTTGGCGTTCCCCTCCCCGAGAGCAGAGTAGAGACCGGACCAGTTGCTCAATGTCAACGTGATGCCACAGCCAGTCAACTTTGACACCTTTGTCATGTTGCACAAAGCTCAACACTCACAGCACTCACTCACAGCCATAAAGAATGTCAGGGGGAAATGATGCTTAACAAATCAAGAATTTCATTGAATCTTTTTCTAAGGTACACTCTGCCACTTTGCCCCAGCGTTCCCCAAAACATGACTGGTTGAAACCCCAGTTAGAATTCAATCATCCATAGATAAGATCTCTCTTCAGCTCAGGGGTTGATTGTATTTCATTTGAGGAAGGAAACTCCCAGTGTGCTTTGCCTGATTTTCAGGAACTGGTTTGTCAATTCTCAGTTTGTTCTGGCTAGGCGCTATTTGACAAGAAGGCAAGACCTGAATAGAAATCCGTAAAATAAATCTATTTTTTTTTTTGAGGGAGAGAGACTTCTGTTGGCTGCCAAGAAATTCCCCACACAATTCTCCCTACCTGTCTCAGCCAAAATGACGTGCTCTGCACTGTGTTATGTTAACAGTAACGTTTGGATGGTGTGATACGGAGTTGGAAATTACTTTGTTACATTCTGATATGATTTCTTGTCTTCTGTCATTTTATATGTCACTGCTTAAACAATAAAATGCATCGGGGGCGCTGAAGTCACTGGTCAACATAGGCTGTGGTTTTTGTCATTTGACTTGATTTACATAATAGAACACCACTGGAGCTTTAGCATGCCTGAGACTGGCGCTGGAATATTCTGTATCCTGGCTTCTTTCGGGCTTTAGCTTGTAAACCACCTCTTTCTATGAAACCTTTTACTGGCTCCACCATTAAACAACAACTCCAATGTGCACGGTCTGTATTTCCTGTATTGCTTGGACTGGGTTAGACGTTTCACTTGCATGGAAGTGGAAATGACAATTTAAGTTTACTCTTTTGTATCATATGATGTTGACCATTCGTCTAACGCAGGGCTTCCCAACCCTGTTCCTGGAGCTCTACCGTCCTGTGGGTTTTCAGTCCAACCCTAATTTAACACACCTGATTCTACTTATTAGCTGCTCAACAAGACCTCAACTAGCTGAATCAGATACGCTAAATTAGGGTTGGACTGAAAACCTACAGGGCAGTAGATCTCCAGGAAGAGGGTTGGGCAGTCCTGGTCTACCGGGAGCCCGATGAGCCTTTCTCTACTGATTCTTCACAGCGTTCCTATTTCTCCTGGTGTATCAGTCTGTAGTTCTTCTGCCTGTGTCCATAAAGCAGTCAGTCATGGTCAGTTCAACCAAACAGGGCTCAACTTTCCAAATGTCTATCAGCAATGTCACGATGTGTTTTAAGTGTTGCATGCGACCTGTTGTGTAATGCTAGCGATAACAGGAATTCCACAATGCCATCGAAAGAATCTCAGCCGGTTTGATTGAGGTCTTGAGTCAATTTGATCTAATTGGTTATTTGTCTCATGTAGCAGGGCAGGACAGAGCCCTCTGCTGGCCAAGCCATCCATGTTAACAGAGCTTCTACTGTGGTAGAAAAATGACCACGTTCAAGCAGACAGAAACCGGGCGGTGTTGCTAGCGGTGTCCCAGTATCGCCCAATATTGTGACTGTTCAGGAGTGAAGCTCAGAGGAAATATGAGTTCGTCCCTTCAGGAGTATGTTTGTCTACACAAAATAGAACATATTAATGACATTTGGCATTTTGTTACTATATGACCTTTTTTGTATGGGTGTATGTTTAAACAGTGTTTCCATGTCGCCAACCCATGAAAAGGACAGCAACTTTTAAGAATTCAGACATTTACGCCAACCTAACTGCCAAGGAATTCTTGGACATCTAGATGAAGGCATTTGCAAGACTGTATATGTCCAGCATAATACCATAGCATAGCATAATGTTAAAACCAACCCCCACCCCAAAGCAGAAGGCAACCTACATATCACCAAGATAAGCATGTACAGTATACTGCTGTTTTGTGTACGCTGCTACTAAACCTAACACTATAACTAAACCTAATCTTGTCTTTATTATGTCTGCATGAGTGAAACCAAGGTCTCCACAGCACACTGTTACTCTACTATGGGAACAGCTTATATCTGCTCAGTGTCTAACTCTCCTCTTTCTGGAAGTATTTAAAATAACAATCCAGATTTGTGTAAGAAAGCTCATTGTAATAATGCTTAAACGGAAAGTGATGTAGTGAATGTTTGATTTAAAGTGAACATGAACAATGTTAATAAACTATTTTTGAGACAAGATTATACACTGCCTCCCTATTTCAGTTGTTCCATTTTACACAAAGACGATGAAAGGTATGTGTGAATCCAAAATAATGTATTGCTTGTGTTCCAGTTGAACAGCCACTGCTTCAGTTAGGGATGTAGTAGTGAGACAGGAACATACAGTACAGGTTATAGATTCCTGAGCGACTGAAACATGAATGATGTAATGATGTTAGACCAGGTGACACTGATCCAAGTCATCATCCTACTGTATCTAAAATATAGTGGTTCAATTGTCGGCATAGTGAAAATACAGAAGAGGTTTAAAAATACATCGCCAAAACCAGAAAATATCAAAATGTATTTTGAATATTAAATACATGATAAAAAACACTCATGCTCTGAGGAGATACTGCCTTTAAAGTACAGTAGGTTTGTGTTTGTTTCCATTGGTACAAAACAGTGAACAAGTCAGGCTGAAGATGTCATCCAGTTTCTGCTGAGCAAGGATTTCAGTCATCCATCGAGGCATAACTTTCCAAACCTTTCCAAAATATTCTAAAGTGCAGTTCTTGCCAATTGATTGAAACGCTATACTTCATTTTGATGTCAAGTTAACAAAAGGCAGCAAAAATCTGTCTGTGGAATGTCAGTTTGAGAGGTACAGTACCTCCAGTATGATTCGGTAGCTCCCTAGGGCTGTTGCGGTGACCGTATTACCGCCACACCGGCAGTCATGAGTCATGACCGCAGTAAAATTTCATGTGACCGTTGAGTCACAGTAATCTCCATTTATGCACTCTGGACATGCATTGGTAGTACCCAACTCGCTCGCAACCATCAGGTCGCTAATGGCCTGGTACTCAGGGCTCTATTGTCCCTCTAACCACTCTGACATCAATGCAAATGTATTCAAAAATCACATCAAACGACTATAATCAAAACAGTATCATGCTTTTAAAACTCACCACACTGTGATTGATCAATTCGAAGAAAGAAGTTAATCAGCAGGTTGAAACTGAGTGGAAAACATGGTCGTTCAAGATGTTGTTTCAAAGCCTAACAACAAAATGGACAGCGCTTTCTAAGGTGATGATTAAATCAAAAGACCCATACGCATATTAGATCTTATGCATACACATAGGCCTATGAGCCCAAGCCCGAAAAAAAAAAAAACTGAATTAAAATAACGATTGTGCCTTTATACAATACATAGCCTACTGCATATTATGCACGGCAGAAAAACATTTTTAAAAAATGATTTAAGATGTCTTTGGTACATAATTGGTCTAGTCTATACTCAAAAATGTAACAAATTCTAGTAATTGTCTTTGGGTGTGGACTATTATTATGCATACTGGATGGACTGGTTACCTTATGCTAAATTGCTATTCATGAGTCTGGGAGAAAACGTATAGGCCTAGGCGATGCCTTTGGTTCATTGTACAGGGCGGCTAAGCCTACAATTATAGTACATTTGTATTTGATTTTGAAGAGCTTAGTAATAAGGGCATTTTTTATTTCATTATTAATAGGCTGACACATTACCTTTAGCTACAGAATATCTCACCACTGTGCATTTCCATCTCCTCCATTCCTTTCACCAGCGCGCAGAGAGAGGGGCTGTCAACAGTTTCATGAAATATGTTTTGTTGTGAAAACATGTTACTATCGATGTTCCCGAACAGATTTCACTTGGTTTCCCAAATTAAGCAGTGGTTAGCTGCAGGAACAGGGTTGGAGAGCCCATGGCATACAGAGTTTGGGTGAAATACTCACCTATCGCGCAGCGAGAGGCTGCATGCTCCTCAAACAGTGGTTGATCTGGAGTAGCCTACTGGCATGATTGAAAAACGAACCAGTGGGAAAGCGGCGTCCATTCGCTATTCGAGTGCATACGGATGACATGTATTTTTTCCCCTGCCCCGGTTCCTGCCCATTTGATAAATGGCCATTCTAAATCGAAACAAATTTTACATATTAGTAAAGACAAGATTAAATTGTGAATAGTGAAAATATGATCACTTGATGAGAGAACAGCGTGTGCAGCCTGAGGGAAGGAACAGAGCGCAAGCTTTTTTAGCGACTTTCTCAAATAATCAATAGCCTACAGTATAGTCGCATCATGCAGCCCATACTGTATATGTTTTGATTTCTAAGACATTCTATGGTTTGTATCATTCACAACTAAAGTTCCCAAATAACTCTAAATCTAGCATACAGTGCATTCGGAAAGTATTCAGACCTCTTGACCTTTTCCACATTTTGGAAAATGGATTAAATTAATATTGGTCCTCATCAATCTACACACAAAACCCCATAATGACAAAGTGAAAACAGGTTTAGAAAAGCAAAAATACCTTATTTTCAGAACCTTTGCTATGAACCTTTGCTATGAGACTCGAAATTGAGCTCAGGTGCATCCTGTTTCCATTGATCATCCTTGAGATGTTTCTACAACTTCATTGGAGTCCACCTGTGGTAAATTCAATTGATTGGACATGATTTGGAAAGGCACACACCTGTCTATATAAGCTCCAGAGTTCCTCTGTGGAGATGGGAGAACCTTCCAGAAGGACAACCATCTCTGCAGCACTACACCAATCAGGCCTTTATGGTAGAGTGGCCAGACGGAAGCCACTCCTCAGTAAAAGGCACATGACAGACTGCATGGAGTTTGCCAAAAGGCACCTAGAAAGGACTCTCAGACCATGGGAGAAACAAGATATTGGGCTGATGAAACCAAGATTGAAACTCTTTGGAGTGAATACAAGCGTCACGTCTGAGGAAACCTAGCCGTACTACCATGTGGTGCAGCATCCTTTGTTTTCACGGCTGGGAACATCAGGATGAGGAAAGAGGAGCAAGACGGGAGCCTTGGAAAACCTGCCCGATTGCATGCTCAACTGAGCGAAGTTCCCTTCACGGAAATGCCTAAGCCACAGCCAGGGACTCGGAAAGTCTCTGATGTCCTGAGTGGCCCAGCCGAGCCGGACTTACCTATCGAGAGAGACTGAAAAAGCTTGGCGCTCCCATCCAACCTGACAGAGCTTGAGAGGATCTGCAGAGAAGAATGGGAGAAACGACCCAAATACAGGTGTGCCAAGCTTGTAGCGTCATAACCAAGAAGACTCGAGACTGTAATCGCTGCCAAAGGTGCTTCAACAAAGTACTGAGTAAAGGGTCTGAATACTGAATACGTGATATTTCCTGGTTTTTTAAAATCTACATTTGCAAACATTTCTAAAAACCTGTTTTTGCTTTGTCATTATGGGGTATTGTGTGTAGAGGGGGGGGGGGCAATTTAATCAATTTTAGAATAAGGCTGTAACGTAACAAAATGTGGAAAAAGTCAAGGGGTCTGAATTCTTTCCGAATGCACTGTATAGAACCTGTTTCAAATTATAACTTTAATGCTCAACATCGCTACTTCATATGCGCACTCGCTCCAGAATGGGAAAAATATCCTTTCTATTTTATTCAGCTAAGTTCAATTATATTATTCTTCCTATAAAATCATATAATATAAAATAATGGCATGGGACTTATAAGCATTTCTTGTCTACTAAATTAACAAGCCTATAGCCAGATAACATACTAATTTCTCAGCTCATATTCTGTTCTTCTGAAAATACATTTTCTTCATATCATGACGTTTCTTTAGACCTGCCTAAAATAAATAATGGATTTATTGTGATGGTGTATAGTAAATAGATTTATTTGACTTTCTTAAATGTAGATGTTCCAAAGGCGTGCATCAGCGGCTTGTATGCATGAAGGCCTGGCGATGCTAAATGTGTTTATGTTAATTAACGGTCAATTAACGTGAGACCGGCAGTCTTTTACATGATAATAACCGTCTGAAAAAAAATGTAATGACCGCCACAACCCTATCTTCCTGCCCAGCTTTGCTGGTGTCCAGTGGGCTACTGCTCAGTCCTCCACTCTGGATGGACATACTGCTGGAGGTCACTCTCCTCTGCCAGACCTGGGGAAGACTCCACCGTGATTTTAAGGGAAGCCAGTCGTGTTACTACATCTTCTTCTCCTTCAGCGTCAGAGAAGTCGAAGCCAGTGTACCCCTCCTCCTCCACACAATAGCTGATAAACCTGAACACACAGACAGTGTTGAGTGAGCTAAAAACAGTCATGCGTACATACATTTTACGTATGGGTGGCCTCAGGAATCGAACTCACAATCCTGGCATTGAAAGCACCATGATCTACCAACTGAGCCATATATATAGCTACTAGAACTAGGAGTAGTCCTGGGTTCTTTTTTCTCTGTTGCTATGTAAGAAAAGAGAAGAAGAGAGCACCAACAGGTGTATGTGGAGGTGTACACTCTTAGAAAAAAGGGTTCCACAAGGGTTCTGCAGCTGTCCCCATAGGAGAACCCTTTTTAGTGCCAGGTAGATCCCTTTTTGGTTCCAGGCAGAACTCTTTTGGGTTCCATGTTGAACCCTCTGTGGAAAGGGTTCTACATGGAACCCAAAAGAGTTCTGCCTGGAACCAAAAGGGTTCTACATGGAACCAAAAGGAGTTCTTAAAAGGGTTCTCCTATGGGGACAGCCGAAAAACCTTTTTTTCTAAGAGTGTAGGGGGAAAGAAATGAGAGAGAGTGGCCCTTGTGTCTGGTGACTTGCTGACGCCAGCACAGCGTGATGATTCGATCACGATTTATGGCATTGTCCGGGTTTGGATGGCCGTATGTTTGCATTTCACAGGAGTGAAACACACCTTCGCCATGGCTTTTTCCGGGGCGGGACCTTCCCATGGAACCCTGGGGATTACTGACGGAGGTGTGAAGACTGATGAAACTTGACAAAATGAATGTTACTGTGAATTAAATTGTCATGTTTCGATTGTTTCAAGAGTTCCTAAAGAGCTGTGAATGTTGTTATGTCTTATTGTACTGTCCGTGTTATGGATTTCTTTTAACAGAGTTGCTGTGTTAAACTGTTCACCGGGCGCCGGTCATTTCAAAGTGGGAGCAGCCCAGATTGCGCGCTCCTATTATTGTGACTAGAGAATGTGTGTGAAGTGTTATGCTTTTGTTTAATTGTTTTGGTCAAGCAGAGTGATGGAAATTAAACAATGGGGGTTATTGAAGTGGAGTTCTGTCTTGGTTAGGACAAAAGTTAAAGAGTTGCTTCGTTCAGGGAGTCATTGTAAACCAATCTCATACTTTGTATGCCATAGTGGTGTATTTTTTATGGTTAATCATTTTGTATATTTTTACATTTAAGACTTCTGGTATGTACTCTTTGATAATTGTATTCTAATTGCATAACTGTAATTGTTACGAATTCCTTGCTGGTGACTCACAACCCTGAGCTGCACACTCCATTCCCCACAACCTGAGCCTGAGAGTCTAGGGGGTACCATAAACCTGTCTCTTAAACTCTCCCTGACCTGTGTGACCTGTGCCCTGATAGGTTTCTAGGGAGGTTACTAGGGGGCCGGACATCTGCCAATCCTTATGACTATATTGGTCACACAATATGTACGGTAGTCCTCATATTTCAGAGTAATATTTCCTTAATTATTCTTGGATGTAATGGTCTAATGGTACATTTTATTTATACTACACATAGCATATGCTTGGGTTCTAACTTTACATCTCTGCGCTAAGCTTGACTCAATGCTGGAACTTTGATCACTAGGATTAGCTCATAGTATCTGGACATTGTTAATTGCATAACAGTTATCTTAGACACGTGTAATTATAGTTAATGGGACTGGTGATGCAAGACTAGCTATCTTGCTAGACCCGCCAGAGATGCTTAAGGCCTATTGCATTTATTCACATGATTATGGAGTCAGATTGAAGTATTATATTACAATCATATTTCTCCTACACTAATTGTCATCCTAAGTAGTTGGAGTGGATTCATACCATTCTACAGAGGATAGTTAGTCTCCTCATGTTAACTTTTCTTGGCCCCTTGGGAGAACAAAGGTCTTACCGCTCCCAGGTGGGGTCCTTGTTGAGGATAACAGGGTTTCCCACCACTATCAGCAGGGCCTTGGCTCTGGTCATGGCCACATTGAACCTCTGTAGAGAAGAGAAGACATGGTGGGGTCAGCTGACTGCTGAACAGACAGACAGGGCACACTTAAAGGGGAATGGAAACACTTCAGGAAGTAAATCTTAACAAAGATTCAATCCACTAATACTAAACGTGCATTTAAAATAAAAATATCTCTATATTTAGTATTTTGATCGTTGACAAGGTTTATTTGAGCTATGGACAGCGCCATTTTAAATTGCCATAGTAACGACTGACGCTAGTGCGTCACTGGCAGGAATCAGCAAATTGTCTGTGGTATTGAGTTTTCACTCTGAGAGTGAATCGATGAGTGAGGTTACCGACCCTCTAGCTGACGTGTTTCAGGCGGCATATCTGTGTTATTAGTGCTACGAGAACAAACTCTCTGTTCTGGGGCAACAATCGGCTCAAACATGGATGGCTTCAGTAGGTTTATTGGCTCCCTAACTAACATTACTTCATCCTCTGCCATAAACTCATTCTCAGTCTCGGAGCTACTCGGTAAATTCAGCCATTTTTGGGAGTTCCAAAATGTTCTCTCCTGCCAGTGATGCAACAATGCCAATATGGCGATTTACAGTTACAGTTAGCTGGCGTTCTAAATCCTAGTGTTTCCATTCCCCTTTAAAGCTGCAGGACATGGTGAAAAGCTAATACTTTCTCTTGGCTCTAGTACACAGCAAATTCGCCAGTGTTAAATCAACACTGAGTGTTACATTTAACACTGGTCCAGTGTCTATATGGGTCCCCACTTTTCAGTGTTAAATTAACATATTGCTTAATGTAAAGCCTTATTTGCATATTTCCCAGAGTGCCTTGCCTTTCAAGTAAATTGTAGAGTTACCACCCATGACTGTATTTGTTGCACTCATCCATTTTTCATTCCTGTGGCCTTCACCAAGTAAGATCCTAAGTAAATATGTTATCATTCAAATGTAATTCTTTAAGACAATACAACATGTATTTCATAAGGCCTTATGTTGAGAGCCTTGTTTTACCCTGATTCAGTGGCCTGAAATTCATGGTTTACAGGCCACATCAGGCCTGCAAGTCACATTATGCTGGCTTGCAAAGTGATGTGTAATTCCTATTGGAATCCAGCTAGAGTGGGGATATCCAACATTTTGAATTTTTATTCACCCGCAACCTGAATTCAGAATGACTGCCAGAGTTGGGAAGACTAAGAAATGAGACTACCTAAAGCATCTAAACTGGAACGACCATTTCAGTAACAGGTGTAACTAGTCCAACTAACATATTGGATTAGTTGAGAAAAATGTATGTTATTTATATTTGAGGAGCATAAGATTAATTAAACAGTCAATGTACATGCAAAAACATAAATATTGAAACAAAATTTCTAAAAATCTAACTGCAATAGAGCATGCTGGGAAATATGATAATGATGGGCGTGGTTTTGGTTCAACACTTGTTATTAACACCAACACAAGGAGTGTTAATTTAACACTTACATAATTAATGTATCACCAGAATCAACACTTGAAATGTTACACTGAAAAATCCACACTAGGTAACACTGGCCAATTTAACTACACTATTATTTATGCATACACACAACGTCCACATGTGGGCACACACAGACATCACATAGGGAAAGAGCGAGTAAAAGGTAAGTGCTGGGAAAGACCTTCTCATTAGTGAGGAAGCCGATGTTAAAGTCTTGGTCCATCTTGACGTAGTTGATGCTGCTGCGGACGGTAGAGACCATGATGATCTTTCTCTCTTGTCCCTGGAACTCCTCCACTGAACCCACCTGAAACAACAACAACAACATGCTTCGTCAACACTTAAAGCTTCAATATGTAACTTTTTGGGTGACCCAACCAAATTCACATAGAAATGTGAGTTTTAGATCTGTCATTCGCATTGAAAGCAAGTCTAAGAAGCGGTAGCTCCGTTCTATGTGCGCTATTTCTATGCTTCCCGTTCTTAAGTTTAGTTTTTGCCTCTTTTACTTTTGGTTTTGTACACCAGCTTCAAACAGCTGAAAATACAATATCTTTGGTTATTGAAAATATATTTCACAGCGGATTAGATGGTACAATGATTCTCTATACTATACATTGCTTATTTTGTCACATAAACTGAAATTAGAATTTTAGCAACCAGGAAGTGGCGGAGCGATTTCTGCATATTGCACCTCATCTAAACAAAGGCCTCAGGTTGTAAGACTGATTTATAACACAGGATTCACCTTGAGCTCCTTGATGTCCTTCCATTGACTCAACTCTTTGACAAAATTCAGAGCTTTCTGGATTTTCTCAACCTGTTAAAAACAGCAGATGAACTTAGGTAAAACTCCTGCACATCAGGTATAGTTAATGATGGGTGCTTTAACTCCATGGAAGACATCTCACCTGTTTCCTATAGGGAGCGATGATGCCAATGTCTTTAGGGGAGAGTTTGGGCAGGCCCTTCTTGCCCTGGGTCTCCATCAACTTGGTGAGGTAGTCCACTAGAACCTCAATCTCTGACACGTTGAAGAAGGACGGACTGTTGGCCTCTCTCTCATCCTTCCCCAACACTCCATGGAATATCAGTGGGAACCCCTACACAGAAGCACCACAGGAATGCAACCAATACTTGAGACATTTCCACCACCCACACAATCACAACTTAACCCATGATTAAGATACAGCTTTCTGCAACATGGCCACTCATATTTGATGTAACGTTTTATTTTTTAAATATTATTAAGAAATCAGGAGAAACAGTAGTCCACATATACCTGTTGCTGCATGTTTGAGAAAGAGGGAGATGCTTTGTTAAATATCCTGCTACTAATGTTAATGAGGATTCAGGAATAGCTCTGTGGTCAGAAGGGAGCAACCATGCCTCAGACAGACAGACACACACTGACATTATAATTACTGAGCTGCCTGAGGAGAAGAGACCCTGGAGAGGTGTGACAACACTAACTCACACACCTAACAGACCTCGAATCAGAATAATGTTCAGTAGCCACTAAATGGAAGAAAACGTTTTGAATCAGAGATGGTACTAGCTGAACCTGGCCAAAAAGAACACTTTTACACCTCCTTGGGCAGATGCTCCCAGTTGCAGTAGGTTTCACGATCCCACTGGTCTGCAAACACCTGCAGCTCCTTCTCATAGAAGAGCTCATTGGGAATCTTCAGAATAGCAGGGTGGGACCTGGGGAGGAAGAGAAGAACAAGCTCAGAACTATCTAATCAAACTATGTTACAAAAGAGCAACACTGGAAAGAACAGGATGGAAGAAATGCGAGAGCAGTTACCTGTAGTTGCGAAGGAGCTTGGTCACAAAGCGACTGTCAAAGTGTCCAAATTCTCCATCCTTCTGATACAGTGGGTTGTCTTTCATCAGTCTCTCTAGCAAAGAAAGCCCTGGGATACACAAAAGTTGATCTTATAGTCAGGGGTGAAAGTAGAATTCATTTCTTCCCAGTACGGGACCTTCTAAATGCACTTGTGTGGGTACCAACATTTTTTCTGGGCCTAACCATAGAATTACATATAGAATCCCTATTAATTCAATAGGATCTCTGTGGGCATAGTCGTAAAGATCTGTCATTTAACTTATAAAATGTATTACCTTTTATTGTGGCATAAACACAACCAGTCATGTTTTCATCTGATTGTTAAAGAGCTCCTTTGCTAAGCTACCCGTGCACGTTCATCCACTCGCAACACATTTCCAGCCTCCAAACAGTGGTGAATGGAAAGAGACATCTGTTACATACAACACCAAAAAGTGTAATGACATTTGCCGACTGTCATTAGACCAGAATTTATGCGTCCACTGCTGTCCGTGTGCGTCTCGGTGTCGGCCACTCATCTCTGCCTTGGAAAAATGTCAGTGTTCTCATCGAACCACATTGCATTTTGCAGCGTAGGCTATACCACCCGTTTTCAAGTTCATTTTTCATGCCTCTGACATGCAGTAATGATAAAAAGTGGTGTAATAGCCGACAGTTTTCTTGACATTTTGTTTTAATTATTGTGATAGGCTCATGTTTTACTGGTATAGCGTACCCCCACTATTTATTTTACTGGGTCGCCGTACCAGAACGTACCGCCTTACTTTCACCCCTGCTTATAGTACATGGAGCTCACTGATATTCCAGCTATGAGACATGATGGAAATGGGGATTGTTTATTGACAATAGTCATTGAGTATGATTCATTGATTGCGTATTAGTTCCTACCCATTCCATACTGCAGGGCCAGGGGGGATCGTAAGGTGGGTCCTAGCTGCTGAGGGTCTCCAGCCAACACTAGCTGGCCCTCCTCTGGATGGAGCAGGCCTGTGGATAAAATAGACAGCCATTGGCTACTGGATTGTAGCAAGACAACATGGTCATGTTCACTAAGGCCAAAACTGGATGAAGCTTTTTGAAATATAGTGAAATGGAGGAGGTGCAACAGGAGTTTATCCAACAAGATGACAGATTTTCGTTCTCTGTTACAGAACGTTTTGCTAAGTTGTTCCCTACTGACCATAAGCCAGGCCTATGGTGTACAATCTAACATAGGGCTCACACATTGAGCAGTACCCTCCCTGGTATTATCTCTCTCACCTGCGATCCCAATGATGCTCTCTGGCTCCACTGCTTGACCCGACTCATCTATGAACACATGGGTGAAGTGACCGACTGGGATGCCCCCGGACACAAGCCTAGGAAAGGAACACCAACACACAGTGGTAAGCCAGAGAGACTTGTTCAGGAATAAGGATATATTTTGTGTAACACTGTACAAGTACAGTGTAACAACTATTGTCATTACACACTGCAAATCTGTTCTTACAGCAGTATAAAACCATTCAGCCTTTCTACTGTAAAAATGAGCCGCACCGTCCTGCTGTCACCAGTGTGGTGATGATGACCTTGTAGCCCATCAAAAACTCCTTTGTGGGAAACACAAAGCTGTCCTGGCTCGCGTCCCAGTTACAATGTTTCTGGAACGCCGAAGAACACAGAGAGAGGGAGAGGCATTTGAAAGGACACACAGTGAAATGTCAGTGAGTATAGAAATCTGTTGAGACTTGTATTCTCAATGCATTTTATTTGTTTTACCTTTTTTCACCATGCAGGTGGCCTACAATGCCATGTAATATGTGTGAACCTGTATTTTCCTAAAACACAGAGTCTCACCAGGAGGTTTTGGGGCACAGTGCTGAGGGGTCTGCTGCTGGCATAGAGACGGTAGACACAGTGGGGGTCCATGTGACCCAGCAGCCTCTGACACAACAGGTCTGATGCACTGTTAGATGGGGCACATGCCAGGATGTGGCACAAAGGATCCACTCTGTTCAGCTAAAACACAGACATAATGTTTAACACTAGAACCTCCAAGACGGTCAATCTGACCGTTTTCAATTTTGTCATTTCAATAATTTTAATTAAATAAAAACCTTGAACCACCTGTCCCTGACTTTTCCTAAATATGTGTATTTTATACTCTAGCTGGATTTTGAGATAAATAAATACCATAAAAGACAAAAACTTTCTACCTCAAAGCCGCCATGATGGTCAAAATGACCGAATGCATATTTAACAGTAAAATAGCCAGCCTCCATGAGTACCAATAGGCAGTCTAATAAATCGATTTAAATATACACAATCACAAAGAAAATACTAATATTTCATTTTCCAAGGTCATAAAAACATGATACTAAGACATTTATTTTCAAAAGAACTGAATAGCATGTTTTTGAGTATTTATCTGTGCTTAGTAGCCACGGCTATAAGGCTGTGCCATGCCAATGAAATCAACATGTAGCAGACATCACACGCTTATATTCCCCTGCCCTACCACACAGACAACACATACACTGAGTATACCAAACATTAGGAACACCTTCCTAATATTGAGTTGCACTCCCCCCTCCCCCCTTTTGCCCTCAGTACAGCCTCAACTCTCCAAGGTGTCGAAAGCATTCCACAGGGATGCTGGCCCATGTTGTGTCAAATTGGCTGGATGTCTTTTGGGTGGTGGACCATTCTTGATACACACGGGAAACTGGTGAGCGTGAAAAATCCAGCAGCGTTGCAGTTCTTGACACAAACCGGTGCGCCTGGCACCTACTACCATACCCTGTTCAAAGGCACTTAAATGTTTTGTCTTGCCCGTTCACCCTCTGAATGGCACACATAAGGGCTCAATTGACTCAATTGTCTCAAGGGTTAAAATCCTTCTTTAACCTGTCTCCTCCCCTTCATCTACACTGATTTAAGTGGATTTAACAAGTGACATCAATAAGGGATCATAGCTTTCACCTGGATTCACTTGGTCAGTCTATATCATGGAAAGAGCAGGTGTTCTTAATGTTTTGTATACTCAGTGTATATTTTACACTAAGAATATAATGGAATATAACAGAATAAAATATAAATTATATGTTTCCCAAATGGCTACTGCTGATTGTCGCCAGTACTCACATGAGGAACAGGTGGAGCCACGATTATTCTAGGAAATAGTTATATTTTATACCTGGTTCATGGCTTCAACTAGAGTGATAGTCTTGCCGGTCCCTGGAGGGCCAAACACCAAGTAAGGAGCAGGCTTGGAGGCCCCAGACACGATGCGATGGACGGCTGCATGTTGTTCTGGGTTGTTCTCCAGCTGACGATTAAACATGCTGGAGAAATGTGGAGGAAACTTTGGAACATTGTTACTACAATGTCATATCACATGTGTGAACCTGTATTCTCCAATCAAAAATATGTTTAAAAAGAAGATGCTGGAGACAGAAGGAAAGAACGGTCATTCAGATCTCATGCCAGGCTTATCTGCTGTCATCAACTGTTTCCACTCAAACTGTTTGATCCGGAATAGGAAAATATGTTTTTGCATGTCAAGTACACACTGAACTTAGCCCAGAAATGGAGCCACTAAACTACGAGAAAGTATGTGATGTAGAAACTAGATATGGGCCCTGCCAACTTGCCACAGATAAAGCTGCCAGTTGGATCCATTCTTTGAATAAAACCTCCTTGGGGAAATGTCTTGCTATCTTGTGATAAGCGTGGGATTTTTTAGGCTAACAAAAGGCAGACCCTCTAGATTTCAAACTCATTAATGAAAAGGTCTAGTCACTGACATGAAACCAAGAGGCCAGAGGGAGCAAAATTAGAAATATGAGAGGAGCAATTCACAACCTAAGTTGTGAAATGTCATTGCGACACTCCTTCTTACAAAATGGCATTATATAATAGGAATCACACCAACGCTTCCGTCTGTGACCTACAGTTTGTAATTTGGTATGAAATGTCATTGTAACACTTTAGATTAAGTTGCTCTCGTACTTGTGTAGCAACACCGTAATTACTACAGATACATAATCGTAATAGGTTTGTGATTCCATACTAATGGAGTTGAACGGTTCTTGCTATTACATATGTTTTACAAGAAACAGTCTCTATTCCTCTTGTTTGACACAACCATCTACCCACAACAACAGAGCAAAGCCAGTGTGAGTGCTTTTCTGTTGGCTGGAAGGGGGGATCCAGACCTGAGTTTGGGTATGGGGGTAGTCCGGACAACAGAGCCCAATGGGAAGAGCACCTTGTCCAGCCGGTGCTGCTCTGCCAGGTCTACCGCCCGGTGCTGCAGCTTCAGGGGGAAACGGTTGATGGTGAACTCCACGTCAAACCTTGTGTTACTGATGAAGCTCTGCACCAGCCTGAGAGGCAGAGAGGGGGTTGGAAAGTATCCTACAGATCATTGCACTGTAACATTATTGGGGTCTCTCTCTCTTACCTCTTTGAGAAGCCCAGCTTGACTCTTTCTAGCTCCACTCTGTGAACGTAGCCTGTGTACACTGTGATGGGTTGGACTTTTTCCTCAGACTTGGACACCTTCAGGCAGTCTCCCCTAAGGACAGATGGCCTATTCTCTGTCACACCCGGGACCTGGTGAATATCATGGAGAAAGACACTCAGCATACTTAGGGTTAGAGTGATACTGATAGTCAGTTATAGTACCCATTCATTTGGGGTTGAGGCATATCACTGGATTGGGGCTCATTACACAACTTTTTAGGTAAAAAAATGTCTGTCCATTTTATTTAGGAGTGAACTATCACTTTAAGTCATCATTGTCCTCTCTGACGACTGCAGACATACAGTACATTATGGCTTTTTGCCTTTTCATACTTGGAGAACCAGCAGTCTTCTGTTGTCCCTGTCCTGAGTCATGGTCTGGTTATGGAGGTCGTATCTCTTGATGTCCACCTCCATCTGGATCTCCTCCAGGTGCAGCAGGAGGTGGAAGCGATGGTGGTAGTTCCTCATCTTCAGAGGGCATTTAAGGAGGTTTCTGGGAAGAACATAGACAAGACAGAATTATCAATGAGAATGACCTTCAAGTACAGAAGATATCAGTATGGGGAGGATGGGGTCTTGGCAGCCTCGGAGGATCAAGTTATTGATCCTAGCAGACAGGCAGCACACTGACCTCACCGATGAGAGCTTCTGTCTGGCTGTAGGAGAGAGGTACTCGGAGTCCTCCAGTCTGTGTTTAGCCAGGTCCTTCAGGTAAAAGGGATACTTGTAGTCTCTGAGTTTCAGAGGCTGGACAACAGATCTGCCGTGACAGATGAGAACAATTAAATGTAACGTTTGACTATAAGGAATATCATTATCAAGCCACATAAACAACATGAAAAGAAAGCTCATTAGAATTAGAAAAAAAGTATGTACAGTATATGACTGTTGATGAAAATGGGTAAACAAATGTGTAAACATCACTTTGTCTTACTGTACCTTTCCGGGGGCTCTCCCTCCACTCTCACCGTGTCCACAGGCTTGTATGGCACCATTTGATAAGGCTTGTAGGGAGCCAAAGGCCCCAGTGCCACAGCTAAGTGAGTCCTGGCTGATGCCTCCATCTCTCTCACTATGCAGAAGGGCTTGGAGGAGCCTGGGGGGTCTGACTCTGTGCAGAACTCAAAGTACATGGTGGCAGGGAAATGGCCATAATGATGCAGCCAATAGTGAACCTCTACATCATAGCTTTCCCCTGTGGAAAACAACAGAACACATACCCAGGCAGGGTTTAGTAGAGAGGGTGTGAGGGCAAACTCACTGGAAGTTAATTTATTTTAAGGTGTTCTTTTGTTTGCAAAACCTAATGTATTCAGACCATTTTGACAATGCATTGAGACAGATGGTGCTTGTGTCTTTTTCTCACCTGGACATAGGAAGAGTGGACAGGCCCGAGTCACTCTCTTCTCGTCCATCAGCGTAAAACAGCGGATCCTGTGCAGAGCCGTGTAATAGGTGAAGTGCACACGGCTCGCTCCCTTGTTAGAGATGTAGAACTTGACCACAAACATTTCCTGCAGGCGCTCCACGCTGAACGTGACCTTACCATTGGCCATCTCAGGATCTGAAGTGATCTCAATGCCACCCTTGTCAGAGGTCAACTCTGCCCTGAGAGAGAGAGAGAGAGAGAGAGAGAGAGAGAGAGAGAGAGAGAGAGAGAGAGAGAGAGAGAGAGAGAGAGAGAGAGACAGACAGACAGAGAGACAGACAGAGAGAGAGAGAGAGAGAGAGAGAGAGAGAGAGAGAGAGAGAGAGAGACATACCAATCAAACCACAGAGGATCATCATCTATTTGATCATCATACACCATTCTATCTAGATAGGACATGGACCAACTGCTGCAACTAATCTAATGATTATCTTGTTGTCATCTCAGACTTGTCACCAACCAGTCTTATATAGTAGGAGGTCACACAATATCTCACCTGTTCACCTTCAGGCTTTGGATGATTTCTTTAGCAAGCCTCTTCTTGGGTGTCAACACAGTGTTGACAGGGGTAGCGGAGGAGGAAGAGGATGGGAGGAGAGGAGAGAAAGGCTCTGGGGCTCCTCCATTTTCCTGAGGTGTGATATTGTCCTGCTGTTGAAGTACAGAAGATCTCCTCCACTGGTCACAGTAGTACACTCGGACCTGTCAAACCAGAGACCAGGGAGAAGATACTGTCTAGGGCATATCCACAAGGGTGTGAAAGGGATATTGAGCTCTATGTATTACCTGACAAGCACATAGCCCATATACTGATCAATCAATCATCTGTTTCACTTGTCTTCCCTTTGCTGTTTATGGTTTTCATTTCTGTCGCCACTCTTTTAAGTTTGGGACCCAAACATTGATTGATGCCTTAGTTTGAGGCTGAGCCTCACATCAAGAACATAGTAATAACTACAATAGAATAGAGCTGAGCAGGTTTGCAAAATGCAATAAGGTATTATTACCTGGGGTTTGACATTAAAGTATAATTTCCCCTGTCGTATGTGGACTTTGTTGAATTTCAGCAGGGCATATAGAACGTTGGAAAAATTGGGGTATTTCATTCCTTCCCTGAAAAACAAAACCATGTAGTCATATTTCAGCTGTCTGACTGAAGCATACCGTGTACTGTTAGGCCGTCTATGACAGGTCAGGTGTCACAGTTAGTCAGCCTTTGAAAACCCATCCTCTTCATTACCTGCATTTGAATTCTAAGTTGTAAATGTCACGAAGTTCTTTTCTATCCGACATAGTCGATTTCCTCTCTCCCAGGAATTCTATGAAGTCCAATCCGGATTCGAGCGAGTCCATGCGCATGTTGTGATGTACAACAACGATTGATAGTGTTTCGAATAATGATTGTATTGCGATGTACAACAACGATTGATAGTGTTTTGAATAATTATTGTATTGCAGACAGTGGAAACAAATTAAAGGTATTGGCTAGGGTCAAAATGGCAACCCCATATTCGCTATTCGGCGCCGTATGTTCACGTGTGCATTCAGTAAATACTGTTTAAGCGTTTCAGGGACATGTCTGCAAGGTGCTTACTGAGCGCAGGAACGAAAAGTAGTTTGAACCAAACTTTCACAGAATATGAATGTGTAAATTATGTAGTGTTCATATTAAATCACATAGTACCTTTAATATTTGATATATGTTAGATAAATATGCTCATGATAAAGAGAAAAGTATTTACGTTAACATGAATTTAACGATAGCCTCCCAGTGCGATGTTACATAATCCCTGCAATTGAAACCGTCACAGTGGAACTGTGTACCAAGTGCACGTGATGCAAACAATCCGGCATGGATCTCGCATCACTTATTTCTTATCTAAAACATGGATATCTAGGTTTTGAGTTGAGTATTCCAAGAAAAGCGATTGTGTTGTCTGTCACCCCTACCCTGTTCATTGTGGTATGATTTTGTTTTGTGTATTTCAAATTGTTTAAATCCATGCAAAATATATCAAATGTTTTACTTAATCTAACTGGGCTGTACATTTTTCACCAAAGCAGCACAACAGCATGTGGAGATAAGACTTATCATGCGAGTATTATGAAGGCAAGGTTATATACAGTGCATTCGGGAAGTATTCAAACCCCTTCCCCTTTTCCACATTTTGTTATGTTACAGCCTTATTCTAAAATTGATTAAATTAATTTTTTTTCCACATCAATCTACCCACAATACCCCATAATGACAAATGCAAAAACGGGTTTTTAGAATTTTTGCAAATTTATAAACAAAATCAAAACAGAAATACCTTATTTACATAAGTATTCATACCCGTTGCTATGAGACTCGACATTGAGCTCAGGTGAATCCTGTTTTCCATTGAAAATCCTTGAGATGTTTATACAACTTGATTGGAGTCCACCTGTGGTAAATTCAAGTGATTGGACATGATTTGGAAATGGACACACCTGTCTATATAAGGTCCCACAGTTGACAGTGCATGTCAGAGCAAAAACCAAGCCATGAGATCGAAGGAATTGTCCTAGAACTCCAAAACAGGATTGTGTCGAGGCACAGATCTGGGGAAGGGTACCAAAACATTTCTGCAGCATTGAAGGTCCCCAAGAACACAGTGGCCTCCATCATTCTTAAATGGAAGAAGTTTGGAACCACCAACCACCATGACTCTTCCTAGAGCTGGCCGCCCGGAAGAAACTGAGCAATCGGGGGTGAAGGGCCTTGGTCAGGGAGGTGACCAAGAACCCAATGGTCACTCTGCCAGAGCTCCTCTGTGGAGATGGGAGAACCTTCCAGAAGGACAACCATCTCTGCAGCACTCCACCTATCAGGCCTTTATGGTAGAGTGGCCAGACAGAAGCCACTCCTCAGTAAATGGCACGACAGCCCGCTTGGAGTTTGCCAAAAGGCACCTAAAGGACTCTCAGACCATGAGAAACAAGATTCTCTGGTCTGATGAAACCAATATTAAACTATTTGGCCTGAATGCCAAGCGTCACGTCTGGAGGAAATTTGGCATCATCCCTACGGTGAAGCATGGTGGTGGCAGCATCATGCTGTGGGGATGTTTTTCAGTGGCAGGGACTGGGAGACTAGTCAGGATAGAGGGAAAGATGAACAGAGCAAAGTACATTTACATTTACGTCATTTAGCAGACGCTCTTATCCAGAGCGACTTACAAATTGGAGTACAGAGAGATCCTTAATGAAAACCTGCTCCAGAGTGCTCAGGACCTCAGACTGGGGTGAAGGTTCACCTTCCAACAGGACCCTCGACCCATAAGCACACAGCCAAGACAATGCAGGAGTGGCTTCGGGACAAGTCTCTGAATGTCCTTGAGTGGCCCAGCCAGAGCCCGGACTTGAACCCGATCGAACGTCTCTGGAGAGACCTGAAAATAGCTGTGCAGCGACGCTCCCCATCCAACCTGACAGAGCTTGAGGATCTGCAGAGAAGAATGGGAGAAACTCCCCAAATACAGGTACCAAGCTTGTAGTGTCATACCCAAGAAGAATCAAGGCTATAATCATTGCCAAAAGGTGCTTCAACTGAGTAAAGGGTCTGAATACTTATGTAAATGTGATATTTCAGTTTATTTTTTTTATAAATTTGCCAAAATTTATAAAAACCTGTTTTTGCATTGTCATTATGGGGTATTGTGTGTAGATTGATGAGGGGGGGGGGGGAAATACAATTTAATCCATTTTAGAATAAGGCTGTAACGTAACAAAATGTGGAAAAAGTCAAGGGGTCTGAATACTTTCCGAATGCACCGTATAGAATAGTTTGGAGCAGGGCTCTCCAACCCTGTTCCTGGAGAGCTACCATCCTGTAGGTTTTCAATCCAATCAGGTGCCCTTGGTTACGGTTGGAGCGAAAACCTACAGGAAGGTAGCTCTCCAGGAACAGGGTTGGAGAGCCCTGGTTTAGAGACACAAGAACTGAAAGCAGAGGACAATATGTCAAAATAGTGTATTGTCCAACACGTTTTTACGCATTGGACACAAATGTACCAGTACACAGACAATGCATCTGTATAATACTTCATCTGTAAACGGTCAAGAGGTGCATTTCAAGGTGTGCTTCACTATAAAGTAATATACAATAATGTTTCTTTATTCAAATGATGTCCCTTTACTGTATTTTCAGTGCTATCCAGCATTTACACAAATACACATTTGGCACCAATTCTGATTTTAATTTATTTCCCCAATCAGAATATTTCTACATACTGGTTAACAGTTAATGATCACAATAGTTACAGCATAGCATTTGGTGCAACTTCTTCATTCCTTTTGTTTATTATACATGGTTCTGACATTTTGTATAAAAACATATAGCAAAAAGCTAAAAGGAAGGAGTGTGGGAGGTAAAAAAGGAATATAGGTATTATATATTAACTTAGCCTAATCACTGATAAGAGGATACTGATGGTACTGTACTTGTTTAGGCTTGATTAAACCACTGAGAACCGAGCATGTAGGCCTGCCTGGTGTGTGAAAAGAAGATTAATTCAGTGTGATGAAAAAAACATTTAAATAAACAGTTCAAAGTACATATCTTTACCACGGGAAAGATTGCAGGGAACAGAGCTGATACTTGGGTCTTTTCTTTGAGGGGGAGGTGGTGCACTATATTTAGTCATTAAAAAGGAGTATACACCTCACTCGGAGACCTTTGGTTACAGAAAGATTTGCCAAGACCTATACAAAATAATTTAGGTCAGAATTCAATCCAACGCAGATTAACAAACTGCACACAGTGATAGGCTTTTAAAGGCAATTTCCCCAGACATTCACAGAGATCACATTAGCTGTAAACGCAGCAGATGGCAGCTCAATCGGAAATCACCTTTAACCAAAGATCAACCACAATGCACAGGTCGTTTATCTGCATTTGTTTGAATCCCAGCCATAGTGCCAGCAATGGAAGAGCTTGGAGGGTTACAAACAGGGCTTAAACAGATTGCTACCTGTGGCACCCAGACAACCAAATGAGGGGTATGACTATGATTTTGAAGCATGAGTATGCGTGTGGGCAGGAGGGGATGACCCAATGACCCAAACTTTCACAGTGTCAGTAAAGGCATTTTGTTTAAATGAAAAATTAGCAAATGAGCCAGAGCTAAACAACCAATCAGAATGTCCTCTTAAAATGAAGGCATTACCTCGTAACGCGGCGAAGGAAGCATACCAACTCCTGACAACAAATGAAATCGTGGCATTCTTTAACACAGACAAAATAAACACATTAGACCACACTCTCCGTTTCTGATTTCCCCCGTTCTCTCGCAGTTTTTCTTTGCAGTAACACAGACAGAACGACCAACACACTGTCCTCTAGGCATTCTGCATCTCCTTGCCAATCTTGTAGCTGAGGATCTTGTTCCAGTCAATCTTGGTTCGGGTGACAGGAAGCTGCCGGCGTAAGGCTTTGAACGTGGTGTCAGACATGGTCTGGTAATTCTCACTGATGGCCGTCTGGAAATGAGACAAATGTTTAGATTCTCGCCCCCCCTGATTTATTTCAATTTATCAAAATATTACTGGGAGGAAACATAAATTGCATACCTGGTATTCATTTTCTGCATCCTCAATGATTTTCACAAACTCCTTTGCAGTCTGAGTCTCATTCTGTCAAAACAAGAGAATACAACCGAGTGTCACACCTCTGATGTAAGATAAGAGTTGTCATGCCAAAGGACTAATAAAGAAAACAGAATTCATGCCTTTGACAATACAACTGCCTGTAAACTTGACAGAGATTGAAGACCATCTCTCTAGCATAAAGGATTTTTACTTCATCCTACTTCCCCTCATGCACCAATGAACAGTTAGTCTGCACCTTTCTACTTCCTTTTAAACCTTATGTTCAGGTCTAGAGGAAATGGGCCACAAAACCACCGTAGAGCATAATAAGTGTCTCCTCTAATAGTGTTGACTGATGCTTTTCAAGAGTTCTATCATTACCAGTGTCCTTTGCAAAAGAAGCACGTCTTTCGTGCTACTGATTGTAGGCACATTCTACTGAAAGAGGAACTCACATTCACTGTGAGGGATTCCTGGACATCCTTGTGGCTAACCAGCTGCACATTTCCATCCTCATAGTAATGCACCTATAACCACAAGATGGGGGTGAGAGGCAATATACAATATGACATGAGAACAAGATACATTTTCAGTATATCAATTTGACTTTCAGGGGCCTGTGCCCAACCAGTTGTCTTTGAACAGGCTTTTACACAGCCGGACAAAATGGAGGACAATACTTGGCGATAAGACACTACCCTACCTGTATTTTGAGGACTCCAACGACTTGAGCTGTAGATTGGGATATGCTGAACTTCCATTCAGACCTGCAACGGCCATTCCTGAGAACACAAATCAAATAAGAGTCCTGACTCCTTACCCATACTTACAGTCGTAGAAGTAGGCATTATGTTGTAAACAAAAACACAACGCATTGTCATTGATTTTAAATTAAGACTTCTTAAAAGTATACTTGCACTGTCACTTACCAGAAGTTCTTTGGTTGAAATTGGTGACCTTCAATGCAAGCAATTATGGTTTGCTGGCCGTCTATAGTTTTCCCATAAACCTGTGATGAATAAAACAAGGTTCTGTCAATGTTTACCATGCTCATCTTTATCTACTATACTGGTACAGTGAGACAGTCCGAAAGAACTAACGCTTTCGCATGAAAAGCTCTTTAACCTCTTAAGGATCGGACCCTTTTTTCCCCAATTTTCACCTAAAATGACATACCCAAATCTAACTGCCTGTAGCTCAGGACCTGAAGCAAGGATATGCATATTCTTGGTACCATTTGAAAGGAAACACTTTGAAGTTTGTTGAAATGTGGAATTAATGAAGGAGAATATAACACATTAGAACTGGTAAAAGACAATAAAAAACAAAAAAAACATGCGTTTTCTATTTATTTTTTTGTTCCATCATCTTTGAAATGCAAGAGTAAGGCCACAATATAATATTGCAGTTTAGGTGCGATTTAGATTTTGGCCTCTAGATGGCAGCAGTGTATGCAAATTGATCCAGTGAAGCATTGCAATACTGGACAATTTTGCATCAAGTCTGCCCAAATGTGCCAAATTTGTGTCAATTGATACATTTTCAAGTACATAACTATAGAGAACATACAAAAATGATATGGTAAACCAAAATGTAAGTTTACACACTCCCAGGAATGTCATACATCATGGATCATTAGCTTATACACTGACTTTCACACATCTAGATGGCCGGGCGGGGAGGGTGTGGAGACAGAGACAGCAAGGGTTCAAACTGTAGAACCCAGTTCCTACATTTGAATATAAAAATGGATTTTATCAAACAAAACTATGCTACATTTAATCTCTGGGACCCTCAGGATGACAAATCAGAGCAGGATTACTGAATATAAGTACATTATTTACCTTCAGAGGTGAATGTATCAAACCAGTTGCCATGATACGTTTGTTGTTGTGCACTCTCCTCAAACAATAGCATGGTCTTTTTTCACTGTAATAGCTAATGTAAATTGGACAGTGCAGTTAGGTTAATAAGAATGTAAGCTTTCTGCCCATATAAGACATGTCTATGTCCTGGAAAGTTGGCTGTTACTTACAACAGTCATGCTAATCACATTAGCGCACGTTAGCTCAACCGTCCCGTATACAGGACACCGATCCCGTAGAGGTTAAAGATAATAATATTATCATGAATCCTATCCTGCAGGTGAAAGGTAGGACATACAGTGCAGACGCCACTGGGGTAGTGCTCCTTGACGTAGGCCCTCAGGGCGCTGTCACACGCATCTCTCCAGGGTCTGAGAGACGCCTCCCCCTCGTGGGGCTGGGGGTCGCTGGCCTCCTTCCTCAGGTGGTCGAACTTGAATGACTGCTTGTTGTGGGGGTCAAAGAAACGGCCGTTGCCCAAGTCTCCATGCTCTGTGATCAGTACCTGGAGGGGAGATGGAGCACAGGGAGACAGATCCAGGTCCTCAGTTGCTACATTGACCTTCCAGTTAATGTGTTGAATCTATACATGTCACAGTATGATACCAACCCGTTTCAAAACAGCTGGGTAGGAGTCACAGCTCAGGTGACTTGAGCCTCTTACCTGATCATCATAGCCTTCAAGTTTGGCAAGGGTGAACTGATCCATGTTGTACTGGGCAAAGGCACTGTTGAAATACAGCTGGTTACACACACATTTGCACAACAATGCATGAACAGAATATAGTAGATCAATAAAATAAACAAAATACTACTCACTGTGCTGCACCCTCCCTGAGAAGATTGTCATTGTTGAGAAGTATCCGCACATCTTAAATCAAGAGATGGCATATCAAGAGACTGCCAACAGCAATGCATTAACAGACTGTATAACAAACAACTGTATGGGTAGTAAATGATCCTACCATTTCTAAGCATACTCACCGTTGAAGACTTCATTGAATTCTCCAGGTGGAGCATGGATGACAAAATTAGCCGCAATGCGGACCTGAGGGAAAGAAAATATAATGTGATAAATAGGCTATTATCCACTTTGCAATACAGCTTTTACGGCTGACTGTCAATCTAATATTTTTGGTACTATATGATATCGCATTTGAATATTTCTACCACTGATACTATACACAGAGACAGATTATTGACACAGCCATATTACACTGGCCTCTAGAGTGAAGCAGAGAGCAGTGACTGGCTTGGCTTCCTGACTAGTCTACCTCTTCTCTGTCCAAGCCACTCCTTAGATGGCAGGAGCTTTTCTTAGCAGCAGTAATGCATGTGTGGGTGTCAGAGGCAGAGCCTCCACCGGGGGGGGGGGGGGGAGCTAGGATATCTTAATAAGGGTCCTCCTGAAAGTCTAGAGTGCACTGAAATCCGCTTGTAGAGTGGCAGTATTGTAGGCCTATGTATGTTTTTATGTCCATACTCAGACCCAAAAGGTTGTGTGGGTTATATAGCTTAATTCAACAATAAATGTAAAGTGCTCACTGTATTGTGCTATCTTTGCAACTCTTCACTAGTGCATGTAAAAATAACAACCGAGTTCTGGTCGGTGTATGCTGTTGCTGCAGTTAGGCCTACAGTGTCTTCAGAAAGTATTCACACCCCTTGACTTTTTCCACATTTTGTTGTGTTAGTCTGAATTTTAAATGGATTAAATAGATACTTTTTTTTTTTCTTCCTTCACTGGACTACACACAATACCCCATTATGTCAAAGTTCAAATCAAATCAAATTTTATTGGCCACATGCGCCGATTACAACAGGTGCAGACATTACAGTGAAATGCTTACTTACAGCCCTTAACCAACAGAGCATTTATTTTTAATAAAAAAGTAAAATAAAACAACAATAGTGTTGAGAAAAAAAGAGCAGAAGTAAAATTAAATAACAGTAGGGAGGCTATATACAGTGAGGGAAAAAAGTATTTGATCCCCTGCTGATTTTGTACGTTTGCCCACTGACAAAGAAATGATCAGTCTATAATTTTAATGGTAGGTTTATTTGAACAGTGAGAGACAGAATAACACAAAACAAATCCAGAAAAACGCATGTCAAAAATGATTTGCATTTTAATGAGGGAAATAAGTATTTGACCCCCTCTCAATCAGAAAGATGTCTGGCTCCCAGGTGTCTTTTATACAGGTAACGAGATTAGGAGCACACTCTTAAAGGGAGTGCTCCTAATCTCAGCTTGTTACCTGTATAAAAGACACCTGTCCACAGAAGCAATCAATCAATCAGATTCCAAACTCTCCACCATGGTCAAGACCAAAGAGCTCTCCAGGGATGTCAGGGACAAGATTGTAGACCTACACAAGGCTGGAATGGGCTACAAGACCATCGCCAAGCAGCTTGGTGAGAAGGTGACAACAGTTGGTGCGATTATTTGCAAATGGAAGAAACACAAAAGAACTGTCAATATCCCTCGGCCTGGGGCTCCATGCAAGATCTCACCTTGTGGAGTTGCAATGATCATGAGAACGGTGAGGAATCAGCCCAGAACTACACGGGAGGATCTTGTCAATGATTGTCAAGGCAGCTGGGACCATAGTCACCAATAAAACAATTGGTCCCCTGCTGATTTTGTACCACCCCACACCAAGGACTGAAATCCTGCAGCGCCCGCAAGGTCCCCCTGCTCAAGAAAGCACATATACATGCCCTTCTGAAGTTTGCTAATGAACATCTGAATGATTCAGAGGAGAACTGGGTGAAATTGTTGTGGTCAGATGAGACCAAAATGGAGCTCTTTGGCATCAACTCAACTCGCCGTGTTTGGAGGAGGAGGAATGCTGCCTATGACCCCAAGAACACCATCCCCACCGTCAAACATGGAGGTGGAAACATTATGTTTTGGGGGTGTTTTTCTGCTAAGGGGACAGGACAACTTCACCGCATCAAAGGGACGATGGACGGGGCCATGTACTGTCAAATCTTGGGTGAGAACCTCCTTCCCTCAGCCAGGGCATTGAAAATGGGTCGTGGATGGGTAATCCAGCATGACAATGACCCAAAACACACGGCCAAGGCAACAAAGGAGTGCCTCAAGAAGAAGCACATTAAGGTCCTGGAGTGGCCTAGCCAGTATCCAGACCTTAATCCCATAGAAAATCTGTGGAGGGAGGTGAAGGTTCGAGTTGCCAAACGTCAGGCTCGAAACCCTAATGACTTGGAGAAGATCTGCAAAGACGAGTGGGACAAAATCCCTCCTGAGATGTGTGCAAACCTGGTGGCCAAACACAAGAAACGTCTGACCTCTGTGATTGCCAACAAGGGTTTTGCCACAAAGTACTAAGAAATGTTTTGCAGAGGGGTCAAATACTTATTTCCCTCATTAAAATACAAATCAATTTATAACATTCTTGACATGCGTTTTTCTTGATTTTTTTGTTGTTATTCTGTCTCTCACTGTTCAAATAAACCTACCATTAAAATTATAGACTGATCATTTCTTTGTCAGTGGGCAAACGTACAAAATCAGCAGGGGACCAAATACTTTTTTCCCCTCACTGTATACAGGGGGGTACCGGTGCAGAGTCAATGTGCGGTGGCACCGGCTAGTTGAGGTAGTTTAAGTAGAGTTAAAGTGACTATGCATAAATAATTAACAGAGTAGCAGCAGCGTAAAAAGATGGGGTGGGGGGGCAGTGCAAATAGTCCGGGTAGCCATGATTAGCTATTCAGGAGTCTTATGGCTTGGGGGTAGAAGCTGTTGAGTCGTTTGACATTTTTACAAATTAATTTAAAATGAAGAGTTAAAATGTCTTGAGTCAATAAGTAAGTATTAAACCCCTTTGTTATGGCCTTGTTAAGCCTCAAGTTCAGGAGTAAACATTAGCTTAACAAGTCACAAAATAAGTTGCATGGACTAACTGTGTGCAATATTAGTGTTAACATGATGAGTTTAATGGCTGTGATAGGAGAAAACTGAGTTACTCCACAATACTAAGTATTGTAGTTACTCCACAATACTAAGCTAAAAGACAGAGTGAAAAGAAGGAAGCCTGTACAGAATACAAATATTCAAAAGCGTGCATCCTATTTGCAATAAGGCAAAGTAGAACTGCCAAAAATGTGGCAAATAAATGACCTTTAGTGTCTGCATCATGTTATGGGTATGCTTGTCATCGTCAAGGAATAGGGAGTTTTTTTTTAGGATAAAACTAAACAGAATAGAGCTAAGCACAGGCTAAATCCTAGAGGAAAATCTGGTTCAGTCTGCTTTACAACAGACACTGGGAGACAAATGAACCTTTCAGCAGGACAATAACCTAAAACACAAGGCCAAAGTTGCTTTCCAAGACAACATTAAATGTTCCTGAGTGGCCTAGTTACAGTTTTGACTTAAAATCAGCTTGAAAACCTATGGCAAGACTTCACAATGGCTGTCTAGCAATGATTAACAACCAATTTGACAGAGATTGAAGAATTTAAAAAAGAATAATGTGCAAATATTGTACAATCCAGATGTGCAAAGCTCTTATAGACTTACCCAGAAAGACTCACAGCTGTAATCTCTGTCAAAGGTGATTATAACATGCTCAGGGGTGTGAATACTTATGTAAATTAGATATCTGTATTTCCTTTTCAATACATTTGCATGTTTTCACTTTGTCATTATTGGGTCGTGTCTAGATAGGTGAGAGAAAAAATATATAAATGTATAATTCAGGCTGTAACACAACAAAATGTGGAATAAGTCAAGGGGTGTGAATACTTTCTGAAAGCACTGTAGATGCTCCCAAAGACTGTTTGGCACCTTCCCACACAAAGCAGTATTTGCTAAATACATATGCTCATTCTACCGGTCTGTACATGTATCTGACCGCATCCCTGCCGTGGGCCTTCCATTGAAGCGGCAGGAATGCTACATAAGCTTTCATATGAAGGTTGTTTCATTTTTGGTGATTCAATCTCAATTGGTTGAAATGGCCACAATCACTACGATAATGTATTACCTTTAGAAGAAGTATTGTGAATATGGTTGTACAGTATATGTTTGTGTGGACTTTTTCATGGGATCATGACTTTAATGATTACTATACCAAAGAAGAGGTCAATCAAAAGTTCCTTGTTGTAATTAGGGCTGTCAGAGTTAGATAACTTTTTGTAATAAAATGTTGATTGCAATTAATTGCATTGTCTGAAAGTGTTCAAGAGCGACTGCCTTTAAAAAGCAAACGAATCGCTTTGAAAATGGCCTATGTGGCATCGATATGAGTCAGAAACAGTTATTCAAGTGTCCAAAATGACTACCAACTATAAATAGGATAATTTTGGTCATAAAGTCAGTCTCGTCTAAAACGGAGTTTGGAACATACAGTGCCGTGAAAAAGTATTTGCTCCCTTTCAAATTCTCTACTTTTGCATATTTTTTTATACTGAATGTTATCAGATCTTCAACCAAAACCTAATATTAGATAAAGGACACCTGAGTGAACAAATAACAATTAAATACTTATTTCATAAACAAAGTTATGCAACACCCAATGCCCCTGTGTGAAAAAGTAATTGCCCCCCTTATACTCAATAACTGGTTGTGTTACCAGTTGTCTTTGGGTCATGCAGCAAGACAATGATCCAAACCACACAATCAAGTCTACATGAAAATGGCTAAAAAGCAACACATTTGAAGTTTTGGAATGGCCTAGTCAAAGTCCAGACCTAATCCCAATTGAGATGTGGCAGGACTTGAAACGAGCAGTTCATGCTTGAAAACCCACAAATGTCGCCGAGTTAAAGCAGTTCTGCATGCAAGAGTAGGCCAAAATTCCTCCACAGCGACGTGTGGTATCAATTATTTCTGTTATTTGTAAACGCAGGTTCCCTTTATCTAATACACTGCTCAAAAAAAATAAAGGGAACACTAAAATAACACATCCTAGATCTGAATGAATGAAGTCTGGATTTGGAGTCACCCTCAAAATTAAAGTGGAAAACGACACTACAGGCTGATCCAACTTTGATGTAATGTTTTAAGGACATTAC